TTTGTACTTCACTTCACTGACAGGACAAATAAATGACACACATTTAATTCAATTAATGTAGCCATTATATTAAACACAGCACAGAATCCTAGGTTCTTGGCTTATATGGGCAAAGAAAGGAAGGAAGGGGATAAACACAGTTAGAGAAGAAAACATTTTCCTACTCATCCTGTATTATCATGTAGAAAGGTCTTGTGGCACCATTAAGATTAACAGGTTCATACCACTAGTAATAAGTAGCATTTATGCCTATTAGCAGAAATGTCTGTCTACAGAAACTTTACTCCATGCATCTGAAGAAATGGGCTGCACTCCATAAATGCTTATGACAAACATGCTAGTCTGTGATAGCAATTTCCAATCTTGGGTCCCCAGATGTTCTTGGACTAAAACTCCCAGAAATTCCAGATGTTTTGGACTAAAACTCCCAGAATCCGTGCTGTCTAGGACTTTGGGGAGCTGTAGTCCAAGAATATCTGGGGATTCAAGGTTGGGAACCACTGGTCTATGAGACGTCACAAGACTGCATTTTCTCTCTTTCTTTCTTTTTGCTGCAACAGGCCAGACTTAACATGGCTGCTATTCCTCTGAAAATGCTAGCAGAGAGACTTACGCATCATAGTCCTGGATGACCAGCCCCACGGACCAAATGGCAGTCAAATATTCATTCACTCCATTCGGGCTGATGTAGTGTAAGGAGTCCGGAGAGCGAGGATCTCCATTAGAGCCAGTAAAATCTATGCCAACCTATCAAGAGATATATCACTGGTGTGAAGATTACTTTGCCGGTCACATGAAATTCTCCCCAAGTCAGCAGGAAAACATAAGCTAAGTTAATGAAGGGAGAAGTATGGAACATTTTCCTCCTAATGCAGTTAACCTGTTTTTAGCATTACTATTTGAAAAACAAAACATACAGTGCCCTATGTGTAGTCTTCATCTGAATGTCAACTCAGAACTCTGCAGTGTCCTCTATAGCCCATTAAGGGCCACGTTATTATCAGAAGCACCATCCTGAAAGATCTTTCAGCAAGGCCTACTGGCCAGAGCTGTTGCAGGGATAAAACAGGGATGGGAAACTTGTATTGGAATCTTAAATGGGATGCTTGTATTCCCACTATGTATGAGGATTTGCAGGAACTTTGTTCCAAGCAACACATGATGCACAATACAGTTTCCTTAGCTGCAGGCTTCCTATTCTCTAGGAGGAGAAAAAGCTATTCAAACGCTACATGTTTTTATACCACTGTGCTTAGTTGACTTCCAGGCTCGTCGCTGCATCTGGTAAGGGTCTTCACTCCAGTTACATCTGAACTTTGCCAGATCATTACCCAACCGAGCTGTGAAAATCCCAGGGACTGGTCCTTCTCAACCCCTGCCACCCAAAGAAACGGGCAACAGCTTACTTACAGTAAAATTCAGCTGGCATCCTCCCATGATGTAGTCAAGGAAAGTACATTCCATAATTATCTATAGAACAAATAATCAAGTGCTCAGTGACATATTTTGAATTATGAGTCAATCAGTCTTTTTTTT